ATTTTATATTTTGAAAGGTTGGGGAAGTTTGATTATATTTATTGTGTTTTATATGAAATAAAATTAAGGAATTTTACTATATTTTGTGCCTTATGTAAAAAGAAAGTTAGAGTTCGTTTGTTTTGTTTTTATAAAAAAAAAAGATTTTTATAGTGTAATATATTTTAGTGTAAAAAAAATTTTCATAAAAGTTTTAAATAATAATTTAGTTTAAATAGTTATTTTTTAAAAGTTATTTTAGATATTTTATTATTTTATCAAAAAAAAAAATTAGATATCAAAACTTTAAAAAAAATATTTAATTTTGAAACTATTTCAAATAACTTTTCATAAAAATTATTTTTGAGATATAAATTTCTGAAAAAAAAACTGTGATTTTGACTATGTTTTGTTCTTTAATAATGTAGGTTTATGTTATAGTAAATCAAAATTAGTCTTTTAATTTATAAAAAAATAAATTAAAAAAACTTAAAATATTTTAAAAAAATAATTGTGTAAAATCCATTTTTAAAAATATAAATAAAAAAATCTATTTTTTTAAAGTTAAAACAAACTGACTCTTAACCCTTAATTATATTTTATCTTAAAAGTTAAGGAATTGATTAGATTTTAAGACACAATATGATTTTTAAGGAAACTGACTATATTTTGTGTTTAATTTTGTAAATCAAAAAACAACTAGACAAAGGCAATAACATCAACAACAAAAAAATCATAACCATGCAGAATGAGACTAATGTTGATTTTTAATTAAAACTATCTTTTGTTTTTTCCCACATGCCCAATAACTACGACCTAAAAAGCAAAATGGCTTACTGAATCAAAATTGAGACATGTGCACTATCCTAGACGTTGTTTTCAATTTTATTTGATTTTTATTTGATTTGTTCGACTTTGAATATTAGATTGGTTCGATTTTGAATATTACATGGATTTCCAAGTAACATACTTCATTTGACCACTATTATAAACAAATATTCATTTTTCATTCAATTAATTTAAAAATTGAATATTTGTTTATAATAGTGACAAGAATGAGTAGCAGTATAGTTTAAAGCTTTTGTGATTGTAAATTATAATGAAGCAGAGCTAATAGTACAATTTTTTAAAGAAAATGCTAAAGAAGGTTCTAAGTACATTTGTTTATGAAATGAAATAAATATATAAATATTATGTTGAAAAGTAGTGCTTTTTCTAATACAAAATTTCTAATATTTTTTTCCCTCTTTAACTAGTGCTCTTGGGACTCTTGTTAGCTTGCAACTGTTTTAACTCAACAATTGCCATGAACCTATCTTAAACATTTCTTCATAAGTAATACTTGACTATTATCAACATTCATCCTCAAAACTTAAGAAATTACACTGTAACGTTTGAAGGGAACATAAAGTGATGGATATATGAGAAGAGCAGAGCACTGCTGATGTAAAACAGACAATTTAACTTACTATATCCTTAATACAGTTTTTTTTTCCAGCAACATTTATACAACAAATGATTAACCTTTATTAGAGATAAACTAAGGGAGAGCCACAGCAAGTTGAAACTGGCCCTGTATCCAAAAATAGTATAAGTCCCGCTACAGTTTGTTTCCTGCCAAGATCATCACAAATGAATCGATAAATCAATATTCTTGTGAACAACCACAGCATTAAACCCAAATATTCAAGCTATCACCAACCCAAATAATAAAGCTATCACAAACAGAAATACAAAAAAAGGAATTCTAAATTCAGAGCATTATATATGTTGGCCATGAAGCACTGATACATGCAATCTCTTCATGTATCCATAATAATCCATAATGGACACATGTCCAGTATGATACAGATACTCTTTGATACTTAACAGTTACATAACGATTAAGTATTCGAGCCACATTTACACATAAAATAAAAGGTTTAATCTTATTACAGCTAGGATACTTTTGAGTTTAGAGTCCAACATGAGACTTCAATATGGTTTGGACTTGGGACTCTTTCAACTCATCTGGACACACACACTTTTGTTTATCCAGCAAGAAACTCATGATTCTTTACATTTTCTGTTCACTACGTAACATTGCTCAGATGTAGGAAAAAGAGAAAATGAAAAGATAATAGATAGAAAAAAAGATATTTTTGTTCGGACTTCGAATTGAGAAGCTTATTTTGATATTGATTTTTGTTGCCGGTGGAAAATAACGGATTGGGACATAACAAAAGTGTCAAACCATGTTCCATATATGTAGCTGGTTGTGTGTTCCATGACTCCTCTCCTGTTACATAACACTACTCATCCTATAAATTCTTGGTCAAGTTGAGAGCAGTAAACAATTAATGTTTGTTGATGCTTCAAGGGGTGCACAAGGACACGGATTTTCTAATAGAATACTGTTTAGAGAACGAAGAAAAGGAAATTGACAAATATGACATTGGAATTTTTTTTACCATAGACTACTACTGTTGTGTCAGTTGGGGAATAACATTTTTTGGTTGGGTCCACGGGTATAAATTTCCCTCTTCCCATCAAACAAGGGGACACTCACATTACCGTCTTTCCTAATTTCCTTTCTTTGCTTTCCTATAAATCAAACAATATGCTAGTGTTGATATCTTTTTTTTCTTCTTTAACTAAATCCATCTAACGCACAACTTTGTTGTTTGCTTAAGTCAATATTTATGAAGCCCATATAAACTAAATTGTTGAAGTGTGGTTTTGTTCCAACATCCAATATTGTATCAACTATGCCTACTATTGTATCAACGATGCTACATGTCACAGCTACCGGAATATGCTATACCATAAGAGCAAGATCTTTTTCTAGCGCCATCGAGGTCAAGATTGAGATCTTCAGGAACGATCGTAATGGAAAACCATGTTTTGTTGGGCCCAATGTTGTCTATGGCATATGGTGGTCCATGGCGGAGAGCCAAAATCCCGACATACCGGCTGCTTTGTGGCGCCATCGTAGAGGATTATTGCGGAAAAACCCACAATATCGACCGATATTTAGCATTGCAGCGAGCCCAAAAACCGCCACTGATTTCTGCCATGGCACCGCTATTGCTGATATTCAATAACAATGGTTGGGCCTTTCTTAACTGGGTCGGGTTATGATTTTTAAAAAAGGTTTACTTAAAATTGAAACCTGAATTCCCTTCCTTTCCTAAACCCTAAAACGTGAAAGCTTCCCTTCCCCTTCTGTTCTCTAAGCAATGATGTTTAGAACTTAAATAAATTGGTTGAATCTTGTGATTTGTTGATTATTTTGTCCATGTATTAAAATTTTTATGCTTTTGAGTGTGTTTGCACGCACGCGTGTGCGTGTATGTATATAAAACTACAATTTCGCCCATCAGTAGGATGGAATGTGTCGTCTTACGATCTTAAGCCGGCCTAATGATCCTCCTTAAGATCTCGTGTTTGACCACATTGATTACACATATTATTTACTAAGTTGTGATTATCATCTTCATAAATAGTTGCGTATTAATGGAAAATACCCATGTCTCTTTACAAATACTATCCAGATTATGTGAAGTATGGATATTTTTAATAAATTTGTGTCAACATATCTACCTTATATTCTTTATTGTTTCTTGAGAATTTCCCATATTCATGTTGTATCATCATACCCGTATCGTATTTGGGTTTCATAGGTCAATTTTAACACATGACTCTTCATTTTCAGGCTGTTGTATGTGTGTGCTTTTTAAAAGATTGCAGCATGTTTTTGTTCTTTAGCAATTAATATTATGTTTGTTGCAATACTTGTAGTTTCTTTTATTTATGTTTTTCTCCTAGTCCAAAGTCCAAACCCTACAAGTATACAACCAAAACCATGTACTAGTTTTAAGAGGTAACATCTAGGAAGTAAATATCCAAACAGTATTAGTTATACTCCATGAACTCTTTTAAGCATATTCAAACACATACCCCAGGTCTATCATATCTCAAATTTTAAAATATCCATATCAGTGTATTGATAAATCAGTGTACCATTGCATTAGTATTTCACCTAGAAAGCAACATAATAAATATATTACCAATAATATAAATTTAGTTTAAAAGTACGCAGTGTTGTTAAATAGCGGCGCCATGGCCACTATGGTGGATATACATGGGTTTTGGGTTCGCCGCAATGGTATATATTGGCCAATATTGCGGGTTTTTCAACCATAATCCGCTATAGTGGCGCCGCTATGGCCGATATTGCAAGTATGCATGATCGAGTTTCCACTATTTCGTCACGTCATAATGTTACTTTCAAAAGAACATCTACTACGTGTCGAGTTGGTGAAACATGACTGATACAAGTACTCCCAGTATTGTTAAAATATCCATATCAGGTTATTGACATATCAGTGCATCACCATAGCACAAGCATATCGCCGTACAATATATAAAGTAATTTAATAAATATATTACCAAAAATGTAAATTAGGTTTACATTTTGTCATGTAATAATATTACTTTCAAAAGATCATCTTTGCAACGTGTCAAGTTCGTGAAACATGATCGGACATATATATATATATATATATATATATATATATATATATATATATATATATATATATATATATATATATATATATATATATATATATATATATATAGTCAGTATACAATTACTAAACTCGAGTTAGGATTCTCTCGCGTGACATTTTCATTTAGTAAAACCCCAGCCCATAATTAAAACCAACAACTAAATACTTTAAATAAATGGCAACCCTATCCGCCGATGCGGGTTTTCCCAATATAATCCGCTGGCTGGAATAGCAGGTTTTTGGCTGTCCGCCATGCAACGCCACCATCGGTGGAGATTTTCATCAGAGATATCTTAGTTGAGAGAATCCATTAGCATTAAACTCAACAATATTTTCAAAATCTCAACTAGAAAATCCATTACCATTAAACTCAATAGAGAATAACTCAACTCAGTTCATTCTTTACAAATTTATATAGAACTACTACAACTAAGTAAGTAAGAAAGCAAGAAACTTACAAGCTATAAGCTAATCCTGTGCCCTATTTGAATTGTCTTTGTTGTTGTTTCCATATATCAAACCTGTAACCTGAAATCAAAATCAAAATATCAAAATTTAGAAAACAATAGCAAACGGAGCCATGGAATCTATAACAGATAACAAGCAAAAGTGGTAAAATAAAATACGAACTTGAGGATCAGGAACAGGTTTTCGAGTCTCAACATAGCGATATGAATCAGAGGAAGCAAGAGCCGCTTTTTCCTAGGGAAAATTCACAGAAAACAAAAATTCAATCAATCACCGTTACAATAATTGAAAATAAGAAACAAAAAAAGAAAAGGAAGAACCTGTTGTTCACGTTTGAGGTCTTGGGAGGGTTTAATCCAAAGGAAGTAAGCTAGGGTTCCGGCGACAACCCAGGAAGCAAGGTTGCTTCCTCCTCTAAGACCGCCCATTGAATTGTTGACGAAAGATCTTGCGTTCCCTAACGTTCTTCTCCAACTACTCGACATTTTGAAAATTGAATCGAATCGTAAGGATTTGGTTGCAGAGATTTCACCAAGTTGGGGATTGAGATTGAGAGTAGAAGTAAGAGGGATTCAGTTTAGAACCTTTGCACAAACAACTATCCGTAAAACACAAGTAAAATCAATGTGCCGGGGAAGGGTAAAGGGGTAAATTATAATCAAAATATATATCACCTTTTATTTTATTTTATTTTATTATTAAAAACACTATCAATTAGGGTCTCGTTTTCTTTGTAGACTAGTTTTGTATATAAAGAGGAGGGTCCTCAATCCACATTCCATTAACATATAAGCATTTTTGTTTAACAAACCTTAGTCTGCTAATCATCTCAATAATTGTCATTTGTCAGGAATCTTCCATCTGTTTCAAACAAAAACTTCCATGAAATAAAATTGATAGCCATGTCAACGGTTTTGTTAAGCGTTGTCACTTCCGTCGTCGTAGGGTTATAAGTGTTATTCATAAACCATGTGCAAGCTGTCATTGTTTCACCTTTGTAGCTTTTGAAAATTGTCCATATATCTCATTTTCCTTTTAGATCTAAACATGTATCTGTATTGCATTTGATCCATCCTGGATTTGGATGTTTCCTAGTGTTGATATGGGTTTTGCTAACGAATCTTTGTATTGTTCTAGGTGGTATTGGTTTGATTTATGGTGATTTTCAAAGGTAATGTCATTTCTATTGTTTTTCTTGTAGACTCTTTGTTATTTAAACTTCTAATGACTTCATTGAGATATTTATGGATTTGTGAAGTTGGATATTGTTCATCCCTTAGGGATCATTCTGCTTATATTGATATTCTGAATGATGGTTTTTGCTATGGAGGTTAAATTTGTTTTGCATCTGGAAATTAACTTCAGGCAAGTCGTTTTTGTCTCTTGGTAAGTTCATATCCATAGCTTTCCCTTGGTTAGACGTATAATAACGGGTGTTGTTCTTCCAAGTTTTCCTTTATTGATTACGTTGATATTCAAATTGATGGTGATTGCCTTACGTGTTTGTATTGTTTTGTATCTGAAGTTGGTCTTTATGCTTGTTGGTATGCTCTCTATGTAATCTCTTATTCATTCTTCTATTTTTCTAATCTTCTTCTTTGTTTGTTTTTCTCATGCCTCTCATGTCTTCTTAATCAAAGTTGTTAGAAGTGTCTAATTCCCTGGTTGTAGAGTTGATTGAACTACCTATGTTATTGAGATTATGAGGGTTATCCTAAGTAGATATTTTTCCTTTTCTTCTCATCAAGTTGTACATTTAATTTTTGGTTGTGTTGTTATTGGTTATGATCTAGTTTTTCTGATGGGTTTTTGATATGTTCTTGATGTTATCTTTAATGTTCTCTTTTAGCTTGCATATTATATTCTTATTTGTGTTGTAGGCTTCATTCATCTGATTATTGTTATTGTTCATCTGATTGTTCCGATGTAAGTTAAGACTTGTTTGGATTTTCTTGATCTCGCCTTCATGTTTATATCACTTTGATTATTGTTAGTTATGTTTTTATTGTTTCCATTACCAAGTTTGTTAGGTTTGAGGTAATTGTTAACTCCATTGGTATCATTGATGATGATCTTTTCAATAGGTTTAAACTTGTTGTCATAAATCATCTTGTTTCTAGTCACCCACAGATGGTTTAAAATGTTAATAGTTAGAGATATTGAGTAATAATATCTTTTAGTATTGTTGTTAAATATCCAATCTTGTATATTGTGATTGTGGTTGTTATAAAAATTAAGGTTCATTTGGGACCCAGGCTAATTTTTGGTTAATTTTTTATTGTATAAGTGCATGTCATGAAACAATTAGTGATTGAATCTAATTTAGAGTTACATCTAGGACATATAGGGTCACATTTAACCCCTTTGTGGTTTAGATTGATTTCGTAAAAAAATTTCCATATGAACATTTTCTATCTTGGTGTAGCCTATTCTTTTCCAAAAAAGTTTACTTTTTTTTTGTTGGAGTATTTTTGTTACTATCCCTATGTCAGTTGTTGATGCATTGGTATCCTTTTTTGACTATGTAGTGCCCTTTTCTGTCCATCCAGCAGTTTTGATTTTCTTCTCTCTATTTAAAATGTAAAATTAATGTCTCTTTCATCTTCTGGTTTACAAAGCTCCCCCACTTTTTCCAATGCATTTTCTTATCATTGTCATTGTCCCCCACCAGAAGTTCCTTATAATACCTTTCATTATTTTGAAAATGGAGATAGGGATTACGAAAAAATCTCGTGATGTAATTGAAATTGCATTGCAATCGATATCATTTTATTTTCATGTTCTATCTAATTTGATATGTGTGTTTTGTGAATCTTGTTGTGAATTACGACAAAACTCAATATCAATTTATGAGGCAAAGAACAATAACAACCAAAATAAATAGTCTTCAGCAATAATAATCCGTACACAAATAATATAACAAAATAAAGCAAGAAAAAATCGAAGGTTTGTTTACCCAGTTCGATCAAACGATCTACTCTGGGGGAGACAACAGCTCTCCAATTCACTATACTCAGAAAGTTGTTACAAGAGATTACAGATGAGTTACAATAAAATAGCCTTCGCCTTCAAGTTCCCAAGAACAACCCTGAAGGCGCCCAAGAACAACCATATTTTCTACTCAAATGTTTCTCAACCTCTTCAACTCTCAATACATGAATCACTCAAACCCAAGGTGTAATCCAAGGTTTTCTTTGTGCATAGCTGAAACCTTATGTTATACCTTTAATCCCTTGGTCTCCCTTGTTGGTGAAAACTCTAAGATTGTCACACACCAAACATATAAGAGATACATATTTATAATAGCAAATACCCAACAAATAAAGCCCAAAATCACATGGATTCATGGACCGAATCGAAAAAGCCCGAAAACTCGAAAACATTATTCACCGTACGGACATCACTATTCATCCGTACAGATAGTACTATTCACCATACGGACGACACTATTCACCGATCGAATTTTTTCTCTCGACCTTTCTTCCAATTTTCGCAGTAAATGCAATCTCCAAAATATGTTTTCTTTCTCTTCATCAACAAAGGTTTTAAGGCACATTTACAACAATCTCCATCTTTACTTTAAATTGTATTGATACCAATTTAACAATCAACAACATTACTGCTCTCTACCAAGTTGAAACTTTAATCAATGACTTTGATCAAATTCAAGCAACCCTTGAATCTTGATCTCGCAACTTACATCAACTTGTTCCCAATTATCCTTTTCTGCCTAGGTAATTTAACAAACCTACAGGTATGATTTATCAACCACCCTTGACTCCACCTGTTTTCAAATGCCTCCATGAAGGTTTTTCTTCTTTTATTTTGCAGTCCTTCAGCCACATTAAAAACACAATATCCAAGGCTAGCATAACTGTCCCTTTGAGATGTTACAATAACCCTCCTTACCTTACCATGAGTCAAATGATAATTAGAGATCTCTGTAACCGTTCACTCACTACTGCTAGCATCCATATTAGGAAACTCCACCTCAAACTGATTTTTCTCCGTTATAGTTTCTCCCAGATTTCTCCCTTGGTTTTCATTATTCTTCTTCTGAAGAAATTCTCTACCAACCAAGAAAGTTGTTTTAACCTTAGCTCTTCCCTAAAAAATCAATAAAAACTCGGCATTAACACGCATTTTTATCCCTTGATTTATGCAAAATTTGTTATACTCCTCTGAAACTTTCTCAAGGTATTCATAACGCCTTAAACTCAAATCTCATAGCTCTTTCTTGTCATGAAAGCCTCCACTAGTTAACAATGAATGAATAATAACATTTAAACCTTCTAAAATATATAGACCACATATTTTAGACCCTTTAGCAATAATCAATTCATCATGTGAAATCTTTAACACTCCATGTTCAACTCTAGCACAATAGCCTAGATCATCAAACATGCTTATAGATATCAAATTTCACTTGAGTTCTGGAACATACCTCACATTATGAATAAGAAGTTCACGATCATTAAACATTTTAAATCTGACTGTACCAATACCATGAACTTTGCATGCCTTATTATTACCAAAGTGAATTACTCCACCTTGCACCATCTTCAAAGTTTCAAAGTATTATATTCATGGACACATGTGATAAGAGCAACCTGAGTCAATGACTTAACTATCTTCAGTTTCCAAACTCGATACTACTAGTGCTTCGGCATCCTCATAACTTTCCTCACCGTATGCAACTACAGCTTGAACAGAATCTTCATTGATCTTTCTTTCAGGACAATCCCTTTTAGAATGATAAGAAATTCTACTATGAAAACAGTATTATATCAACATAAGAAGAGTAATAAAAATCATTGTCGAATAACTCTCACTGCCAAACTGAACATCATAAGCAATTTCAGTGACCTGATTCTCTCTTGGACCATTCCAAACTCTTTCTCCCCTCTTTTCTTTAGTTTCTTTATCATATGTCAAATTCACAACAAATCATATCTTCTGATCAATATTTGGGGAAAAAACAAAAATACTCGTCATTCATATGTCAAATTCACAATAAATCACATCTTCTAATCAATATTTTGGCCTGTAGCTACCTAATCCACATGTACACTCCAACTTATTGAAATAATAAGAAAATTTAATAAGAAAAAATTTCTTAAAAGAAATGAGAATGTAATGATCAATACAAGGATCAACCATACCAGAAATAACTCTAAAGTTATGACAGAAAAGGGGTTTGTTTTAATGGAGGAGTATGAAATTCTATATAAATAAATTATGTGACTTTAAAATGTGATGATACAACAATGAAAAGTTCTAAGGCGTGTAACCGTGACCAAGGGTGTGGATGAATACAATTAATAGTCTTCAGTTTAAATAAAATCGCGAGTATATATCACATTAGATATTTAAAATGGCCTCCATATTTTTCATTCTTCCTCATTTGAAACTCTTTATCTAAAATCAATAAAGGAGGTTCAAATGTCATTGATGACTTATAAAAAAAACAGTTATGACTCAGAGAGTTGATTCATTAGTTGTGAGAAGCAAACATAAAATTGAAACGTGAAAATTGCATTAATATTTTAGTTGGTTCAACAATATTTAAGTATATATAAACAGTCCATGATTTTCATGTCACGACTATTACCATGAAAACCGCAGTACTGCTTAAAGTGTGTTGCTTGCTAGTATTACACTATTAAGAACAAAATTAAAGCCTCTGAGAAGCAGCAATAAAGCTTAAAGAGATTGTTAATAAAAAACTTAAAGCCTTTAAGAAGATTCAATGACATTTCACAATTTAGCATTTTTCTAGAGATTAGTCTATGATTTCTTTCCTACTACATTATCTCACATTCCCGTATTTTCTTTCATTTTCTTGGAACATAATCTCCTAGTATGAAACAACTTCATTATAACATCATATAAACTCAGAGACCACCTTAAACATAAAATTAAGATCTAAGAGTAGTATCTACAACTTACATAAAGGTATGTGAGCGAATTTAGATTCTTTTCCACGTCATAAACTTTGAGCTTCCTCCCGGTTTCTTTATCAGCCTACATATAAAGGTAATCAAAGTCACTCTAAAGACCAGTAGTGAGATCATGTATACATATTTGCCATATTCTAGGAGAATATCACACACCTGTAAGGATATCTGCACAAGAGACCCACAACCTACACCACCAACAACCATTACCTAACTAAAAGAAAAACACAATATTAGGTATGCTACACAACTTCCATAAAGGTTCAAAAATGCAAAGATATAATGGTTCTCAAAGTTGGGATGTTGCTTTATCTGTTCAAGTTATCTTAGCTACTAAACTTGATCACGAATATGATTCAATGCTTAAGAAAGCTAACCATTTCATAAAACTATCAGGTAACATTGGTGTATTACCGAATCAATAGATTTTCCTCAATTGAAATTTTATTAAATGCTAATTTCAAGAACAATAGATAATTAAAAATTGATAAGTAACAAACTTACTCTGGTGTTTTCTTATACTGTAGTGACGTTAGCCAGAGTTCAAGTGAAATAAGCATGCTGTATAATTCAGAAATGATTATTTTGAGCGATTAATAATGAAAATCATAAGGAGGTTGGGGTTCAAGTAGTTTAAACTAAGGATTAAAGGAATTGAAGAAGTTAAAGAACTGAGTTTCAAATATACTGATAAATGAAAAATAGTAACATAACTATTATAGTATATCCAATATCCAAAAAATAATGAAAACTGAAAAAGATCGTATCTTACTTCCATTTATTTAATTTTTTTTTAATTATTCGCTATTTTTTTAGTTAGACGTTTCAACATAAACTCATCAACATTTAAAATTATAAGTAAACATACTTCAATTTTCGACGCTTATAGATGCTTGAATAGAAATTAAAAAATCCTTCTAATGTAAAATCAAGAAAGTTTAAGTCAGTTCTGTTTTATCCACTACATTGGTAGCTTTTAATTTTTATAACCGACATAAAAATAATAAAACTTTAGAGATACACACAAACATAGTGGAAAAATGATTTTTTTTGTTAGTTAAGATATTTTTATGTGTAGCTATCATCATATGAATATGTTGTAACATAAGATATTCAACAAAAGTATGCTAATAGTATAGGTGACATATTATAGGTTTAAATTCTAGTGCAAATACAACATTAGTAGCAATGTCTTTGTAATATTCATTAAATACAATATTTATTACCTGTTTTTAGGACTGACAATGAGCAAAACCAACTCGAAAATAGTTTGGAACTCGATTCGAAATTAATTTGTTGAACTTGGTTCATGAACCTAATGAGCTAAATATGAGCGAAAAGCTAAATTCGTTAACTAAATGAGTTGAACTTGAACTATACATAGTTCGACTTGTTAAGTTCATGAGCCAACTCGATTATATATGAGAAAAATTATATTCTCTTTAAGAATAGGTTTAAAGATTTAATATAAATTTTAATCTTATATTTTATTTTAATATAACGGTGTTAATTAATAATTTATATTCGAGCAAATTTTTTTTAAAAATAATTATACAAATAAAATTTGAATCATATAAATTAATAAAATTTTGAATTAGTATATTGTTTAGAAAATTTTAAATTTCAATCTAATAACTTTTATTTTATTTTAATACTTTATTTTTAAAATAATATTAATATAAAATGTCAAATATGTAAAAAAATAGACTTTAAAAAATGGCTTTTAAATTCGTGAAGCAAACGAGTTGAATCTAATGAGATGAACTTAACGAGTCGAACCGAGTTGCTCGTGAACTTATAACGAGTCGAACCAAGTTGCTCGTGAACTTATAACGAGTCGAGTTTGAGCTTAAAAAAAATTCGTATCGAACTCGAACTGAGATTTGAGATGAACCAATTCTTAACGAGTCGAGCTGAGCTGAGGCGGGTTCGACTCGACTCGGCTCATTTCCAGTCCTACTCGTTCTTCACCCTTTTGTTGCCCCACTTAACTCTACACCTCTTAACATCAATTTTAGATCTTCGTCTATTAACATATGGTTCACTGGCACAATAAACATTGATGGATAAAGTTGAATTTTGAAAGAGTCAAAGACATATTTTTTTAAATAATTATAAAAAATACAGAGTGTTCCACATAAATATAAATAAAAATGAATATAAAATGTATCCTTTTGCTGCATAATCCATGGTTGTTACTAATGCTAAGCACAATTATTCTAAGTTTAAGTCAACTTTGTTTTCTTCATCAAAGAGAATTGAGTTGATGACTACATCAAGTAAACTTGGCTTGATCCTTCATTCTTATCAATAAAGCAGTGGCAAGTAGAGAAGGTGGTAACAAAATTAAAAATTTGAAAACTAGATTGGATTTGAGAGAAAATGATACCAACTTTGTACATGTCATGAGCAGGCTAAGAAACCAATTTCCTTGAAGGGTTGCGATTCTCCTTGTGGGTTGACAAAGTGTGACTTTCTCAACCACTCCTCTTTCACAGAGGAGACAAATAAATCTCCCTTGACGTCGGACTAAACATGAATATCAATGATATAAGTAATGATTGTATTGAACATGTTGCAACGACTAACGATGAATGATAATGTTAGATAGTTGTTTCTGATGATGGTTTTGGTTCTTATGTGTTGGAAGTGAAGTTGGAGTGTCATAAATAGGCAAAGCTCTTGAAATGAAAAACAACAGCGCAATAAATTATGTTGACCAAAGACGTAGTTTATTCCATTACTTTCTATATATTTACACCAACCACAAAGTTCAATCATTTATTCTTAAACCATTATCATTACTTTTTGCATTATATTTACTTACTCCGTTTCAGCCATTATTACAATTCACTATCTTGAACCAATTAATTAAATTATTGCATTTGCTTATTACATGTATAAAATAATTTATATTAATTAATTGATATATTAGTTTAATCAATAAAATATATAAAAATTGTTACTATCATAAAAAATGTTTGTTTTTTCATCAAATATTTTGTATATCTATTTATGGATTATCAATTGTTTGTATTATGGGTGTTCAAATACCTTAACGACTTCCGAATTGCAAATAAAAAAACAAATTTTTAGTGTAAAAAATAAATAAATATGAGTTAAAAAAAAAACAGAAAAGAAAAGGGCTGGAGAGGTCATGAGTGGGCCCGAAATGAGCAGCATGTTAGGCTGTCCGGTTGTGTTAAGAATTAAGAATTCGGAAAACCAAACCCGGCTGTACTCCCCTGTCTACTTTTTCCCGTTCCGTTCTCTCTCTCTTTTCCGTTACTCGCTCCTGTTCGTTTTCAACATCTTTTTCTCATAATAATAACACACTTCCTTTTCACAACGCATCCAAAATCTAAATTTAAGATTAGAATGAATAACTTCCACTTTCCTTCTCTTCTTCCACCCTGTCATCACACATCATCATCATCATCAACCATTTTTCATTAATACCAATTTCTTTCCACTCTCCACACCTTTTTTCTTTCCTTCCCATTTCTAGGGTTTTTCATTTTTCCCCCTTCAATTTCACTCTCTTTCTCTCTCTACCTTCTTCTATTTCATACTCATCCACACGCACCCACTCTCTCTCTCTATTTAATTCTCATAATCGTCTTTGATTTTGTTTTTTTGTTGTGATTGTTGTTGTTTTTGTGGGTGCGTGTGGAAGTGAAGAATAGTGAATAAAAAAAATGGCGTATCAGGGTCCGAGTTCGGGATCGAGTTCGAGTTCGGGGTTTCAATTGTTGAATTCTCCGTTTGGAGATACCACTTATACTAAGGTATTTGTTGGGGGATTGGCGTGGGAGACGCAGAGCGAAACTATGCGCCGTTACTTTGATCAATTTGGGGATATTCTTGAAGCCGTTGTTATTACTGATAAGAATACAGGACGATCTAAAGGCTATGGTTTTGTGAGCATCTTTGCTTTTATTATTCTTCCCATTATTATTACTAGGTTTCTTTCTTTGTATTTTTTCTGTGGTTTTGTTGTATGTTTTTTTTTGTAGTGTATCATATACGGGTATGACTGATTTAATTGTCGAAAGATTGATTTCATTTTTCATATTTACTATAGAATGACTTGATTTCTGTGTTACATGCATGGAATTGGAGGGTATAGGTGACTTTCCGTGATCCAGAAGCTGCTAGGAGAGCCTGTGCTGATCCAAGTCCTGTTATTGATGGTAGAAGGGCTAATTGTAATTTGGCTTCGCTTGGTCGTCCGCGGCCTCCTATCCCTTATGGTATTATTTCTTAATATATAATTTGCCTACTTTGAATTTACTATCCGACTTTACTTATGCTACCTTTTCATCCATTTTGTGGTTATTGTTTTTCATGCTTTACCTAAATGGGAATACTGCCTTTTATCATTTGTCACGACGCCACTATGGTTTAAAATTGTGGTCCTGGATGCTGTTGCGGATGTTACGATTTCGGTCATTGTAGTTGTTGCAATGTGCATTGCGACTGTTGCGGCGTGATTTTTGATAGAGATATTTGAAATACACATTTAGGAGACATGTAATGTTAAGATTTTTCAATATATTGTGCATAAATTAGAGTTTGGGGTTCTAAAATTTTGATTTTTTTAAATTATAATCACTGAACAAACATATGGTGAAATTGTCTGATGTGGTTCCTAATGCGATCATACTCCTGGTTTGCAATTGCGGTATGTTGCAGTCGCGGAGACTACCGCATCAGCAATATTGCGATCGCAATTGCGGTTGCGGACTGCGATTTTATTAAGCCATGGTCACCACCATTGCCATTTGCTGTTTTATTTATTTTTATTATGTGAACCTTGCATTGACATGCTTCAGTTATTAAGATTGCAAGATAAGGGTACGGGGAGGGCTAATCTGTTCGGGTGTTTTGTCAAATGAGCGAGTTTGCTATTTCTGATTGATCCTTTAACCCACTCACTGTCTTTTTTACTTAAATAAATGAGTTTATCTAAAGTGATTTTATATCATTCTTTCCTTGATATGCATAGCAGTGTCTGCGGTAAGCCGGTAACTTGAAGTTTCCAGATTATTCTTCCGACATAGAATATATCTGCTTTTATTTTTCTGATTGCTTCTTTTGTCTTTTATAGGGCGGATAAGACCAGCATCTCCTTATGTTGGAAGTTTGCAACCAGCCCGTGGTGCTTATGTTGGAAGTTATGGCTACCAGCAACCACTTTCCTATGGCTATCAACAAGGAATGGTTTATCCTCCTTATGGGTGAGTGGGATGCTGTTGTACATGTTTTGCAAAATCTGGATTTTAACTTTAAGATTTATTTCACTGCCAGTCTGCAAATAGGTGTGCTCTTACCTTTTATGTGTTATGATTTTTTTCATGTCCATGCTTATTTAGCAGTTACGTAACTAATTTTAAACCCGTTTATCGAATTTTGTGACTCTTATAAAAGAGTTATGAGGTCAACTAGAATCCTTGAAAAGGCTTGATTATTCTCTTTTCTTTCTTTCTGTGGCAATCAATACATGATGTTGACGATAACAAGTCGGTACGTGCAGCCCCTTTGTGGTAGTGGTTAATTAGGAGATAAATCCTGAGAAATTTGGTCATTACTGGTCCACTGTATATGGAAAGCATATGTTAATTGGATGTAATAACTAATACTCTCCGTCCTAAATTTTATGTCATTCTAGCAAAATGTGTTTGTGTCAAATTATATATAATGTTACTATATCAATGAAGCATTAATGCTTCTTTTCCTATTGTCCTTTATTATTTATTACTCTATTTTCCCAATCGTTTTAATTTATCTTTCTCCTATCATTAATTAAGGGTATTTCTGTTAAGGAACTTATATTTCTCTTTTTCAAACACCAATGACTACGTTTTTTAACATGTGTGACATATAACTTTGGACGAAAGGAATAATTGTTTAATATTAATTTCCATGTGTGAGTTGTTCCTAACCAACCACATTTGCATTGTGCATCAGGATGTATTACACCAGAAACATGCTATAGAGGTATCTTTTCAACATTATATGTGGTTGTTTTTATCTTTGCAGGTATACGGCATATGGACCTGAATACGTCTACCCACAGGTTAAAATTAGTTTTTTTTTAATCGGCTTAGGATAAATGTCAATCTTATTTGTAAGATGCTGACTTTTTCAACTTCTATTTTGTCTAACAGAGTATGTACAACCCATATGTGGGTCAACAATACCTTCAGATATATGGCGTGCCGGGTGGGGCGAATACAGCCATTTATCCTTATGGACAAGTGGGTCAAGCTATTCCTGGTGGTCATGGGTATACAGCAATGCAGGGTTATACAGTACCAGCTCATCAGATTGTTCCCTATGGTGGATCCAATGTTAATGCAATGACAACTTCACCTATGCCTGCCATTCAAGCCTCATATCCTAGCGGTACAGTCCTCTGTCCTAAAGAATTTCTATCTTTGACTCTGGCTGTTCCTTTTTGTTGCATTTTGAGCATGCATTTCACACATCTTAATTTGATTCATGCACCTTATATATTTTTTATGTGATTGAAAGAGTGCTCATTGATATTTGAGTTGTCCATGAGCATCCGTATTCGCAGGTACTCTTTGAGAAACAAAATCCCCGTATCTTGGAATTAACATTCATTTGAAAACATATTTGCAAATAACCTTTTAATTCTTAACAAACATTGATACTCCAGATTGCATACACTTTTCAGCTGTTAGTATATTATCCCTAAAGAGGGTCAATGCAGGGTCAAGGCATATGTGGGCAGTTTCAGTTATCAAACTGATTTCTGTAAAAAAATTAAGGGTACATCAAACTATAATAGAAGGTTGGGATTTTAATATTAAAATATGGGCAATTGAAGTTCTGATAGGCGGGAAAGTAGTAAATATGTAATGATTAGTTGATTTGATATGTATGTACTGTGTTGTAAGATTGTATATAGAACAAGGCATTAAAATCTGCTGATTATTATTGAGTGCAAAACTTCAAATTAGTGTTTGCTTTTTTCAGGAATCGGTGCACCCGTTCCAGGCCAACAATTTATTGTTTCTCCTCAGTTCATACAAGGTAGCGGTCCTGACCAAACAGCTGGTTGAGGGGGCGATTAAGGTGGGCTATTTACTGAGCATCTTACACTGCATATCTATCTACATGTACATCACGACGTACTTATGTTTTGAATCTACCCCTGTTGCAGATATCCTTAGTTTGCAGCAGGACTAAGAGCAGTGGAACTGCTACTTGAGTGGCGGGCTTCTAATCTAGCCTTGCAAGTATTTATTTTGCATTCTAGAGGTATTGTTTCTATGTTATATATGGTCTTGATGACAGGGGTGGAAATGAGGATTGTTCTCTGTTTGTATGAAGTTGAAAATGTTAGTATTAGAAACAAGATTTAGCTTTTAACAAATTTTATGATGTGCACTGCAGGTCATATAGTCATGCTCACAAAGTTGTGTCTGAGTCAGCTCCAGATGGCGAAGGAAAATGGAACACGCAGGCTGCTTCTTCCATTTGGACGTTTACGCTACCGTATTTATACCTAATACTACACGTACTCAAGAAGAGTGGCGGGTAGTATTGGATCAATGGTTGTTGGAAAAGGTTTCTGGCAGCCATGTAGAAATAAAACTTGTGTAAAAAGAAAAATCACGTCTGAATCAAATTATGATTCTCTTTAGTCCTCGTGTCCATTATTGGGTTTGTAGATAGTTGTCATCGATGTTCATGTCGATGGATGGTCCATCACATCGAATATGACTTTTGTGCATAGTAGTTATCATAGGTTCGGTTCCACCACAAGAGACGGTTGTAATTTTATGATTTTATGCAGAACCTGCCGTTAATGCAGGGTAAGACCCATTAGAGAAGATTGCATTGTAGTGTTCATATTACCATCAGCATTGAGTCACATGTGTAGTACTAGTACCTCGTTAAATTCTGATTTTTCTCAACACCTTTTTAATCATTGATGGAGTTGGTCACGGTAATCACGCAGTGTGGTCCTGTTATCATTGTAGTAGTTGGTTGCTTGTAGTTTGTACCGCAACTACAGGACGATTCTCTAATCATCAATTCCTAATGATGATATCATGATACTGTTGAGTTGACCAAAGGAATATGAATAAGTTTATCAACTATTTTTGTCAAAAACATAATTTACTTGTTAGGCATCCAAATCATGCTCAAATGGAAATCCTTTCACTTGTAATACTTTAATATATTAAGGTTGGTATGTCAATAATATTTAGTTTTTGATAATTAAAAAAAAATTTAGGATATTTAAAACACAATAGTATTTAATTTTTGATAATTTTTTTCTAAAATAATTTGCTATTTTAATTTGGACCAGTTTATGCGAGCTTATTTCACACATGAGTTACCCATTTTTTAAGGTGTCCATTGTAAAGAAAAATATATTTTGAGAACTCATATCTACTTGTATAATCATAACATTTTTATATTTTTGTGCAATAATATACGACATAATCTATATATCCTCAAACGTTAGGTAGACTCTGGTTGAAGATCAAAGTGTGGTTGACTTGATCGATTCGTCTCTATCCCAAACAGTTGGAGATAACCCGAGCTTCCTATTTAGTTCTCTTGTTATATCAAGACGGATTATGAAATGAGATTAAAATAATCGACCAATTAACTTATAAATAACACAAAATCCATAATAAACAACTTCTTTAAAATCAATGTCGTTTTTAAAACTTTGATGCATAAATTGAAGAAATTCATCTTAGTTTGGAAATTTGCGTATTAATTTGACGTATTAGTCCATAAAATGTTTATGGAAAAATAAATTGTCAAAATTACTCTTTTATCGTATATTCATGTTATATTGCTTTACAATTTTTGAACAAATAAATAAAACAACGTTACTGATGTGTTTCAGATTATACAATCCAAACGTGCAAAATATATGCATGAATTGTATAATGCGAGATACACTAGTAATAGTACAAAAAAGCTAAAGTTTCAATACCACACATACATGTGCCATAATAACTTCTCATTTGAAGAAAATATATATTTGAATGACCTCCCTAAAATTTTTTATCGCCATTTTGAATCACAATCTTTTCCAATGAGTGCGAATTTCGTATAAATGAATCAGTTTATTGTTGAATGACTTCTTGGTAATAAGCCATATACACAAGAATTTGTATGATGTACTTGTTAAGAAACCACATTTGAATATATTTGTACTTAATCCCCCCACTTGATCTTCCTCACCCACCATTAGACACAATGTGTTCCTAGAAATATTTTAACCCAATTAGGTTTATAATACATTTTTATTAAATTTGTGTTCCCTTAAAATGACGCTATTTTAAAATAAGGTTTGTATCTTAGTGTGCTGTAACTTTATCATGACGCAAATTGATTTCCAAATTTTACATATATCAACCATACTATCTTTTAAATATTTTTTAAATCTATTGTGAGTCGATTTGACCATATTGGCTATTGTATTTTCAATATGCATGTCGCGATTAATCCAAACTTGGATTGAAATAATCTTTAGTCAAAACCAATTATGAGATCATAAAACAAGCATATTAGAAGTCAAAGTCCTCGACCCAATAACTCCATAAATTATAAGTAATCTAAAGAATATATATAAATAAGAAGTGACGATGCCAGGTGTCAGATACGTGGTTAAACTCACTGACTCCTTTATGTGTGATATCTTATTAGGGACACGTTAAGACATATTTCTAAGTAAGTATAACAAAACTATTAATCAATGACAAATGTATTCAAAATCTTATGAGTCAACCACATCTCTTACATTAAAAGGAATAACTCACCTCATTCACCCCATTAATAAGTCAAAGCTAAAGGATATATGATCAAACTTATAGACATTATAACTGACATCTTAACCAGTTTTTCTATGAAACAACCATGATTATAAATACCTAGCTAGGAAGATAGGTTAAATTAATCACATTTTTCATATACAAACCTCAAGCTCTCTTATGTGTCATACCACATTCTTCTTCACTAGTCCCAACATACTAGCTTCCACATATACTAATACTACTTTCAAATTATCCTAAAACCCTCAAGCATACTTATAATCTCTAAAACAAAAATTTAACTACATTTTACAACACTCTAACACAAAAGTATAATAGAAAAAGAAAAGAAGACAAATACAAACTTAAAATTCTTTTGACTGATATATTTTTTAATGAAGAACTTGAGTTCATTATATAGCATTGTACTTCATTTTCCTATACAAAACTAGTCAATGTGAAAGTATTTAAACATGTATATTTTCGAGCAACACCAATAATCTCCATCTTGATTGAAAATTGCTCTGGATTGGGCAGACGTTTGACCCACAATCAATCAGGCCCCAAACCCCATTGGATTTGGGCCCAATAAGACCTCATCGACGGGCAGAAGATCCGTCGGGAACAGGCCAACAACCGTCGGGCAGGACCTTCGTAGTTGTCCGGCTAACCTCCTTTTCCCCCTCGGTCGGGCAAAGCCCAGCCTGTCCGGGAGCTCCTCAGACCTCCCCCACGTTCTCTACGTGTCCCCTACGCGGAGAAACGTCATCAAGTAACTACCCGTGTCCTGATGAATCGGTCATCCACCTCCCGGATAGCACTGAACAGTTACACTAGGGTAAAGACCACGTGCTAGACTTCATAACGCCACGTCAGCCCTAGCAGTTACCTACGTTGGGCCTGGCAGCTCAACCCAACGCAGAGTAACCGTTGGCCCTGCGTCGGGGGCTCATTATAAATACCCTCTTCCACTAGAGGGTCAAGTAACTCAACTTTCTCACTCTTTTCTCTGTACTTGTTATCACTCTACTCGTCGCTTACTTTGGCATCAGAGTGTGTTTCAGGTACACCCCCCCCCCCCGTCTGTCCATCAAGTCAACGGTTCAATAGCTCAGGTACGTGGCAGCTCAACGATCTCTCTGATCAGGTACGATCAGTGGGGCCGTTTGTGGGTAACTAAGCTTCCTCGTTCCTCCGAGCAGAAGAACCAAAGCTTCCTATTTCAAATTCCGAGATCATGACTAGCCTAAGTCACGACGGTGTTGCCCACAATTCCACCTTCGGCCCGATCACCAACGGTGACGACCAGCTGGGGACATCTCAAGCCCGCGATATCGACATCAGGGACGACCAGACTGCCTCTCCTTTGTCCAAGGACGATGCGCATCACGTCGCACCTCGGGCGAGGAGCCCGACAATTTTCCATCCCGTTCCCACGCCGGCTAGAGCGGACCCGACGATGACTGCTCTCTTCGCAGCCATCAACCAGACAAACCTGATGTTGTTCCAACAAAATGAGCGCATTGACGCGCTGGAACAGGATACCTCATCCCGCTCTCCTAAGCGGAGAAATCAGCGCGGGAACTTTCAGAGCCCTTCTCAGCGTCCACAGGGGCGCCAACCACAGCTGGAGAGGCCCTAACCTGTGGCCTCTAAGAAACGCGTCAGATTACCCCCGGAAGGAGAGGCGCTCCCCGCAGCCAAGGTCGAACAGGCCCGAAGCCCCAGCCAGAAGACCGAGGGGACGTAATCAGCCTCCTCGACATGACTCGTCGCCTCCGCACTCTCCTATTCGCAATGACAAAGACGACTATAGGACCCCCCTATCAAGGGAAATCATGGCAACCCCCATCCCCCACGGGATAGAGAAGCCGCCCGTGCTCTCCACGTACGAAGGTACCTCGGATCCAGACGATCATCTGGAGGACATCAAGGCGATGCTCAACTACAGGAAAGTCCGGGGAGCCATCAAGTGCAGGCTCTTCCCGACAATGCTGAGGAAAGGGGCCATGGCCTGGTACAAAAGCTTGGAACCCGAATCCGTCACGTCTTGGAGGGTCCTGAAGGATCCATTTTCACAGCATTACACGGCATCGAGGCGGCATTCAAAGACGGAGGCCGCCCTGGGCGCAATCATCCAGGCCCCAGATGAGCCTCTCAAAAACTACATTGAGAGGTTCACGAGGGAGGCGGTCCCGGTAACGACTTCGGACGATATGAAGCGCTACCTTATGGAGCAAGACCTACGCCAAGGCTCCAAGTTCTACGAGGTTGTGGCCATC